TAGATAGATAGATAGATAGATAGATAGATAGATAGATAGATAGATAGATAGATAGATATAGATATAGATATAGATATAGAGATATGTTGTATTTGTGCTGATAAATAAATAAAGGGAGACTAGGATAGATCTATTTCAAGCTATTTAGCTCTCATCAGCTAGCCATACCTGCAATTTGACAGTTCGAATCTCACCACGCTCAAGATTGTCTCAGCCTTCCACTCTTCTGAGATTGCTAAAATGAGGACCCAGTTTGTTGGGGCAATATGCTGATTCTCTAGCTCACTTAGACAGGGCCTGTAAAGCACTATGAAGCAGTATATAAATCTAAGTGCTATTACTAGTGCTACAAATAATAAAGATGGGACATAGCTATATATATAAATAATTGGAAAAAAGGTACAGGATCATAAGAATAGAAACAGAGTCTCTGCTTTTCAGGCAATCCTTTCATTAAGGCAAGAGAAGGAAATTCAAATGAAAATGGTGGTAACAAGAGGAGAATCTGTTTTGCAAAACACGTCAGTAGAAGGAACATCTGTGATTGAACAACAGCTGAAAATGCTTAAGGACACATGGGCTTCCCTCTTGTCTACGTGTATCCACTGTAAAAGGTAAAACACAATATGGGTATGGAATAATTTATAAAATGCACAATAGAAATTTCAGCATAACAAATTACAGAGAATAGTCTACGTCAGTGTTTTTTAAGCATGATCCTAAGACCCTGGGAGTTTCTCAAGACTATCTCAGATATTCCCAAATAATTTTGGGAATAATTGTGTCAGCTGTGTTGAAATGTAATACAATATTAAAATTCCTTCAAACAATGGTAAGAAACAGTAGCTGTTTAAGAGTCTTTTTTCCTTTTCTCTTTGTCAAAAAATACTAATTCAAACATTGGCAAACAACATTTATCAACAATCAAATGTTGTTGATCAGTGATTAGGTATACATTTCTCCTTCTTGTTGTGTATGATAATTTCCTTAGGTATTTCTCCCAATTCCACAGATTCTATTTCATGAAAAGACCAAACTCTTGGGGATGTCGGCTAAATGAAATAGCTGGGCTTTTATAGACATATAGAGACAGCCAGGACAGCCAGATTATTTCAAACTAACTCTTAAGAGCCTTGCAAATAGCACAGCTGCTTTAATAGTTCTCTACTGTGGCGTGCTTTTTATGAATGCATGGCACATCCGTAATATAGGTACTCTTAATATATATAAAATAACTAGAACCATTTGTTGATAATGTAATGGGAATTTGATTATTGAATTATTATGATACAGAACTAAGTATATGTATTACTTTTAACATTTCAGCCAGCTTGAAGGAGCTCTCTCCAAGTGGACAAGCTACCAAGATGATGTTCAGCAGTTTACAAGTTGGATGAACAAAGTAGAAGCAATTATGAATGCTTCAGAAAGACAGTATTCTGAACTTAGGGAAAAAAAATCTTCACTCAGCAAATCTAAGGTTTGTAGAAAGTCTATCCTAAAATAATATAACTGCTATAGCATATTTTAGTAGTAGAGCCATTTTGGTCTATGGTTAAGGCAACAAGCTAGAAAGCAAAAGACTGTGAGTTCGTATCTAGCCATGAGAGCCCGATGGGTGACTTTGGGCCAACTCTCTCAGCCTCACCCACCTCATAGGATTGTTGTTGAGAGAGGGAGAGGGGAGGGAGAGAGATGATAGATAGAAGATAAATAGATAAATAGTTAGATAGTTAGATAGTTAGATAGTTAGATAGTTAGATAGATAGATAGATAGAT